ATGCAATTATACTGTTTTAATGTTAATTTAATGTCAACGTCGGACGTTTCGGTGTAATAGACCATCTTAAGGACATATTCATATTATGAAGATGGTCTATTAGACCGAAACGTCTGACGTTGACATTATATTTGTTACGGTTTTTTGGGTATATGCTACCTGTAACTAGTGAGCGAGTCAGAATGACTTATTTCCCTTTATAGTCGACCAATGGGAGGTTGACCAATCAGAAGCCGCCCAACACTGTATTCATCGTGTATAAAGGCGGCCATCTTGTTTCGTCTACCAGAAGGACAAAAGGCGACCAGGAGAAGGATGAACTACACTCTGCTGTGATATCCACTGCGAACCTTTACTACGCTTTCCTACTGTCTCCGAAATATTCACTGCCAACCTTTGGAAGCGATACTCGAGGATCGACCGTCATGAAAATGTCTAACAATATTAACATTAAAACAGCATAATTGTATATTGGGATTATTGGTTGTTTTTCCGTATATTTTCTTCATACTGTCGAATCTATATCCATATATTTGTTTACACACACACACACACACACACACATATATATATATATATATATATATATATATATATATATATATATACTGAGTATATATATATATATACTGAGTATATATATATATATATATATATATATATATATATATATATATATAATAACATTTTTAAACAAAATTGTCCAAATCGTGTCAGACCAAATTTGTCCAATTGTTAGATCAAGCTTTAAAACGATGTATCTTAGAAATGATTAAAGATATCTTACTGGAATTCCCCGAGGTTTTTATAACACTATTGGACTTTACTTTGAAAAATAAGAATGTATAATTATTTTTCAAGCTTAGCAGAAGAACCTTAATGAAATCAATCATAAACGAAGATGACATGTTCATCATTAATTAATCATAGCTAAGGATCGGAAGCTCATGAAGGATTGAAATAAAGTTGAAATATATATATACATCTATTATTTCAAGATCATTTTCCAACTTATTCAAGATGATCTTTTCCCTCTCTAATCTTCTAACGTTCTGTAGTGGAGTAACAAGGTGTCTCATACTTTTCACGTATGCGTTCATTTTCAATTCTTTCTTCAAACGTCTTATGCATTGAGTTAGATTTTCTCTGATTTACTTCTAAGTTGAAATGATTATCCTTCTTCTTGTTGTGACCTCATGATCCAGTTTTCCTCTCTTTTATCTTATTCACCATTCTCTTGATGGTTCTTGAATGGACTTGAAGATGGAAGCCAGAGTATGAATGTTGGTACCATTACTGAAGGCCTGAATCATCTTTTTCCTCTCACCAATGATCAGTTAAGAAAACATAGTGAGGCTGACACAAAATGATTTTAATCTGTTCACTTTCTATCTGAATAAGTCAAAGCGTTTTTTAGTGATTCTTACGTCAAATGACTACACGTCATATCTGAAAATCTGGAAAAAAGCAATTAGTTTAGTGTTTTTTTTTAGATATTATTTTTTATATGAAAACACTCAAAAGAGTGCGCAGGATCACCTCACTTGGGGTCATGACAAGTTTCGGGTCTTGCAACATCATACTTGTTCGCCCAAGAGACCCTACCGAAACAATACTATTCCGGCAGGCGATCCTGAAGCAAAAAAAAAAAAAAATCCGCCAAGCAGTGAACAAATGGACACGTTAAGTAATTGCCACTGCTGATCTTGAAATCACAAGCGACTAATCATTAACGATTTACGTCACTTCCTCCTCAGCCAAGACGATACAAAAAGAGGCTAAATAGCCTGCTCGTCTTTTTTCCATCTTAGGTCTAACATGTGGAAAGACCCACATTCTCGACGAACAGTTTGACATAACAGGTCAGTAATGGCCAGTAAAGTTTTCTTTCCCATGAAGCATTGCTTAAAGGAATTATGATCAGAAACGTTTCCTATTTTCTTTTCCCCACCACCACCATTTCTTCCTTCCATTTCTTTCGTTTTCCTTTTACACTTCTCCTCACTCCCCTCCCGAATAGGAAAAAAACACTAGGAACATCAAGAGGGTGTCGTTGAAAAGGTCATTAAAAAAGACCCTCCCCTCAAACAGCGACTTTGGTCATCCCTCTATATTTCCCCTTTTCTTTTCTTTCCTCCTCCTTTCCCAACTGCACGTCAACGCCCACATATATCCGTCGTAATGCTCCATGGTAGAAATCCTTTAATCCATAGCCATTTTGAGGCATTTTCTTCAGATTCTGAAAGAGCCCTGATGGCCTTTCTTTTTTTCCCTCCCCTGACTCCAAGCCGACTTAGGGCACTACATACAGATCTTCCTGCAAAACCACGGCATCCGACTTCAACCGGGAGACAGGTAATCCGCCATTTGTTAGCTCTGCATCTCTCAACTAACTCCTGGTATTTTTCCAGCTTTCTTTCAAAGGTTTCTTACAAATTCTCCCCCCAAGGTACCATAAGTTCGAGCATTATGACCTTCCTAGAGACAGTCGACCAGACCAATAAATCCGGGCACAGGGACGATGTCGTTATCTGCACCGGGATATTCAACTGGCTCCCCAGGTCTGCTCTTAGCTGCCAATCTCGGGCAGAGGAGAGCATGCAGGTTGACGATTTACGCACCGTGGAGGAGTTTTCACCGGCCTTGCCGAAACAGATCGCCTCCGTTTCGGGCTTACAACTGCAATCGCTAATTGCTGCGGCCACTACTTCGGCTAATTTCATAAGTACCTGATCATGTCTCCACCGGTACCTCCCTTCAGCAAGTGCCTTCGTGCAGGCGCTTAGAATATGTTTCAGCGTACCTTTCTTGGCACAGAGTGGGCATGATGGTGACTCGCTTCTCTCCCAAGTATGCAAGTTTGCAGGACTCTGTAGTACATCGTACACGGATTCCACAAGAAATTTAATGCGACTGGCGTCGGAGCGCCAGAACTCCGACTAACTTAAATTCCGTCGTATAAAATTCTCCCACCGTGTCTATGAACTCTGCTCACTTAGTACCACCATCTTGCAAATTCTTTTTTCCTCAACGTTGGCTCGTACTTCCAATTGAATTAGTTGTCGTCTCTGTTTACCTCTAGCATTCTCGATTCGGGTACCAGGAAAGAAGCCCAAGCCCGCATGACCTGATGTCACTGTCCCCCATGAGAGCCTTCTGCCTCAAACGCTTCTCCGCAATACCCAGTTCACCCTCTATACTCCATTTCCTTCCATTGCGGACTTCTATGCCTGCTGCCGCCACTTTTGGGTCCTTAGAGTCCCTGTACTGTAGGAATCCTCTTGTCCGAGAGACTACCAATTCCTCCACCAACCCTTTAAAGGGGAGTTGAAGTGAATTTGATTTGCCATATAGTGCGGCACTGCTCAAACCTCTCGGTAGTCTTAGCCATCTGCGAAGGTAGCCGTTAATTATCCTTTCCATGGCTTCCACTGATGTCATTGGGAAATCGTAGATAAACAAAGGCCAGAGAATTCTTAGGAGCACCGTGTTGTTCATGATGACGGCCATCTTTGAGTATAGAATCCAGAGGTTAGCAGTGAATATTTCGAAGACAGTAGGGAAGCGTATTTCAGGTTAGCAGTGGATATCCTGGTAAAGTAGCAGAGCGTAGTTCAGTAATTCTTCCTTCTGTTCCTCTTTGCCTGACAAGCTGGCACTGGACATTCGGATAGAGTAAACAAAATGGCCGCCTTTATACACGACGGATTGAATATTCTACGTCTTCTGATTGGTTAAATCTTCTCTTGGTGGACTATAAAATGAGTCAAGTCATTTTGACTGGCTCACTAGTACACACATACCCCAAAAAACTGCAACACACCGCGTGTTGGTAAATCCACGCCTTCAAACGGCCCAGAAGTCCTGACTTCTCCACCTTTTTAACTCGGCTCTTCACGGGTCTCTCTGTCAACGTCAGGATAGTAGTTCCCGATATCGCGAACCTGAAATTATCCGCCGCTTTTCCTTTCCTCATAAATAACGATCTCGACTTTGCCGGCTTGAAACTCATTCTCGCCCGGGTGATAAGCTTTTCAAGTCTGCGAAGGATCCACCTGCTCCCCTTGACCAAAGGTGACTTAATGATCATGTACGCCGTAATGACCATGTACGCTCTGAACGGTGGCTGACGCACTCCTGTCTTCATCATAGGGCCTCGACCCTCGACTTCAGCCGATTTGACCACCATATTTATAACGAGGGTAGCTGAGATCGTACAGCCAGTAATAATAACCCTTTAGAGTCTTTGCCAATCGGAAACTATAAACCTAGAAAAGGTTCTCATTTGAAAGTTGTTATAATAGTCCAGGATTAATAGGCTGATCTTCTCGGGTATATGATATCTTCGTTAAACATTTTGTGGGGTGGACAATTATCACATGCTGTTAAACAATGTGGACAATTTTGCTGTTGCACCTGGTATATACGGAGACACGGTGGAGTAATGGATAGCGGCTCAGATTGAGGAATCAGAGAGCCGAGTTCGAATTCCAGCTGAAACCCTTGGGAAAGCTATTAATTTTCTTCTTCTCTAGACTAGGTTCTATAGCCTTGGATGGCAACTGGTCTAGAAGAAGGAAAACTCTGAATTCAAAACCTGCGGAGGATTATTTGGTAGTGCACCAGATCTCTGTATTCGGCCCTTAAAAAAGTATATATATATATATATATATATATATATATGTATTGAAAGAAGGAAGGTAACAAACTCCGGTGAGGATTTTACATTTAGAGCTTCTGACAATAAAGCGACGTTTGGCTTTCAGATTTAGTTAATTGTAACAAATGACGTAATTTATTAATTAGATTATTACTATCAACGTTATACTTACTCTGTGAACTTTGAGTTGACGTCCACGTTTTTATATAGTGGAATAGTGAAATTAATATCAGACGGCCTCGATCTATAGTAGTTTTATAGTATTAAGAAATAGTGTCATATTTAAAAATCCATTTAAAATGCATAACATGACATCGCTAAAACAACGATTATACTGAAGAAGTCCTTTCAAACTATCTATCTATCTATCTATCTATCTATCTATCTATCTATCTCTTTTCATATCTATCAATCTCTCTCTTATTTTCATATCTATCTATCTATCTATCTATCTATCTATCTATCTCTTTTCATATCTATCAATCTCTCTCTTATTTTCATATCTATCTATCTATCTATCTATCTATCTATCTATCTATCTATCTATCTCTTTTCATATCTATCAATCTCTCTCTTATTTTCATATCTATCTATCTATCTATCTATCTATCTATCTATCTATCTCTTTTCATATCTATCTATCTATCTCTTTTCATATCTATCAATCTCTCTCTTATTTTCATATCTATCTATCTATCTATCTATCTATCTATCTATCTCATTCATTATCGATGTAAGTATCACGTTATATTCATTATCTATCCGTCTATCTCCCTCTCTCTCTCTCTATATATATATATCTATCAGCCTAGTTCAATGCATTATCTATCTATCTATATCTATCTATCTATCTATCTATCTATCTATCTATCTATCTATTTCAGTCTGTTCATTATGTCTCTCTCCCTCTATCTCAGTCTGTTCATTATCTCTCTCCCTCCCCTCCCCCTCTCTCTCTATCTATCTATCTAGTTCTTTTCATTATATATCTATTTATCTTTTTATAATCATTTCACCCAAAGTCACTAAAATGCAAGGGGTTGCTAGGTGTGACAGTATATAAGAAAAAAAAACATTATTATTAAGGCGAGAGAACAATAAAAGAAGAGGAATCAAGAAGACAGAAGATAACGATTGACATTACATTTAAATTTTTGAAGATCAGAGTTGATTGGAAAGCAAGAAGCCGGAAGAGAGTTCCACAAACGAGATGCACAAGAGAAAATCTGTTTTGTAAAGAAATGGAATCAATTTTTTTTCCAAACTCTTTTCTTTGAAATTCACTTTGATTTATTCTCTGTTGGGGAAAAAAAAACATTTTCTTAAATGCGCTCGCAAAATAAGAATCTGGCACTGAAATGTTCTCAGTCTAACCAACTTAAAAAAAAAAAAAACGAGTAAAATACTAAATATTAGAAATATTCGGAATCGCTTTATAATTGGGACGAGAACTTTTCAGCACCAATTGTATTTCCATGGGATACATTTTTGAAGAATATGTCCAGACAAATAAGTAAAAAGAAGATTCTGGAAAGAAATTAAAACGAGTTCTGATTCATTGGAAGATGAACTTCCAAAACAATTCATTTTACACAAGAGACTTGGCTACAAAGATTAGAAATTGTTCGCTTGATGAAGCAAATTTCGTTGGGGAAAATTTAATCAGTGGCACTGCGTTCACTTTTCAATACGTGATTGCCTTAATAGATAGATAGATAGATAGATAGATAGATAGATATGAACAGGCCGAAATAGATAAGAAGATATATATATATATATATATATAGATAGATAGATAGATAGATAGAGAGAGAGAGAGAGAGAGAGAGAGAGAGAGATAGCAGAGATAGGAAAATATAAACTATAAAAAGTATATTTCGCGAAGAAAAAGTTAGATCAAATGATTTCCAAGGAATGACGCAAGCATTCTTTGAATTATTGAATTTTTTTTTTAAATGTGTTATTGTTAACAGATGCAAACTTTTGGAGTGTGCAGTTGCAATGTTAAGGTTGAAGTTTTTTGAATTCTCAAATTGCCATATTAGTAAAAAAAACGCACTCTCTTAAATTTAAAAAAAATTCAATCTTAGCGTTGCGACTGCAAAAAAAAAACACAAAAACAAAAAAGACAATAAACGTATTTCGATTCGCATGTAATTTTTTCGTCTCGGATACTACAGTGTAACCCGGATATAAGAGAGTTGTCGGGACCGCAGAAGAAGTCTCTTATATCCGGGTTACACTGTACATGAATTTTACAAAAAACTAAATAACTTCCATGTCTGAAGATGACTGAATGTACAGTTGAAAGTACTTGCGTATTAAAAAAAAAAGACCTTATACAGCTTTTAATTTTTAAAAACAAGGATCATAACATTCATCGAGTAATTTGTAGGTTAATGCAACTTTAAAATTTTGTTTGCGAAGGGATTTCCCCATTTTATATTATTAACTTTGCTAATCTACATTTTGTATGAAGGATTCATTGCAGCATAAACACACACACACACACACATATATATCGGGTCATCCCATAAGTTCTGTCCGAATTTTACCTTTTTTTTAAAATGAACGAAATTTAAAGAGTATTTTATAATGTCTAATGGAACTGAACATTATTTTTATGTTTAGATGCATTTAAACTAATCAAAATTTATTTCAGAGAACAATAAAATAGAAATTTTGTTTGATTAAAATCCTGCTAAATTGGAAGTACCCAAGAGTCATTGAAACTCAGCAGCCAAAGCGGCTAGAAACATTCACCCAGTTTATAGAGAGGAATGTGTGAATGAAAGAACTTGCAGAAGATGGTTTGCAAAATTCAGAGGTGGAGATTTCACCCTTGAAGATGAAGATCGAACCGTACGTCCAGTTGAATTTGATGAAAAGCTTCTTGAAGCAGCCCTTGAAGAAAATCCTGTTTTATCAGTTGAGGAATTGGCAGTGTTCCTCAGTTCAAACCATACAACTGTTCATCGTCAACTTGGAAATGTTCCTAAACTTGGAAAATGGGTGCCTCATGAATTGTCTGAAAACAACCTCAAATCCCGAGTTGACATCTCTACGTTCTCGCCAACTTGTTTCACCTTTTTTGGATAAACTTGTGACTGGCGACGAAAAATGGATCTTTTATCGAAATGTTAAGCGTCGTAGACAGTGGCTTGGTAAAGGGGAAAGACCCCAGCCACAGCCGAGAAGGGAACTTCATGGGTAAAAGGTCCTTCTTTTAATCTCGTGGGATCGCCAAGGAATAATACACTTTGAATTCTTACCACCTAATGCAAGAATTAATGCTCAAATATACTGTCAGCAATTAGAGCGTTTAAACCAAGCTTTGAGGAAAAAAAGACCTGTTCTAGTGAATCGAAAAGGTGTGATGTTTCATCAGAAAAATGCGCGACCCCACACAGCAAGAATCACGTCATAAAAGATCGAAGAACTTGGTTGGGAGAAAATTCCTCATCCACCTTATTCTCCCGATCTTGCTCCTTCAGACTACCATTTGTTTCGTAGCTTACATAATAATTTGGAAGAAACAGCTTTTGTAACACATGAAGAGGTTAAAACTGACATTTGTGAGTTCTTCGAATCAAAGCCAAAAGAATTTTACAGTAATGGAATTAGTAAGCTTGTTAATAGATGGAAGGAAGTCATAGATAATCAGGGAAAATACATTGTTGATTGAATCTGTAATTGAATATAACATTTGGTCACTTGTTTTCTTTATTCAAAATTCGGACAGAACTTATGGGATGACTTATATATATATATATATATATATATATATATATATATATATAAACAAAAATTCATAATAGATAAATAAACAAATTACGTAAACAATAAACAAATTACCAAACTACTAATACACACATAATACAAGTAAATGTAATAAAAATAATCAACAACAAATAATTAAGTAATAATTAAGTAATAATAAGTTAAATTTTAACAAATAACACTAAACAATAGGCAGAAATGACAGCATTCAAGTCTGCATTTATTCCTCCTCAGTAGCCTCTGGAATATCTTGAAACATAATCGTGATGCCTTACACAATAATGGTTGAAATAATGCAACATACCTTGCTAACCACAACGCAACGACCATCAACTCCAACGCCCCTACCCTCTGCGGAAAAAATCTACTTTTTACATGCAACTGTTACCACTCACCGAGGATACTGAGCAGACTCCCATTTCTGGATCCTCGTTCGACAGCCAAACACATGGTTTTTATCCGGTCTTCGCCCGCTTAATTGGGTGTCAGAGGCGATAAACTAAGGGCTATATGAGTTGTTAGCATTTGTCTAAAGAAACTAGTTAATTGTCTCTTTCTTAGACATATATGCTGACTTTCACTTTTGGAAACGCTGTTCATCAATCCGAAAACGAAGGAGGGCATATAGCGCGGAAAACAAGTTGGTAAGCCTCCTAGTAATGAACCCCGACGCCTACGAAAAAAAAAATTTACCTTTTACGCGCGATTTTACCAATCACTAAATTAGGCTGCGCCCCTCTTGTAAATCTTAACTCCTGAAATGAATAAATGCTTTTCATCCGCTCCTTCCACTTGTGTCGAGCATTGTTGCGTAACATGAATTTAATTGGTTAACAATTTTTAACTTTAACCGTCAAATAGCTTTTTCTTTTGTAATATTGCAAATTAGTTACCATTAGTTGCTCTATAGACGTCCCTGCCCGCATCCAAGCATAGAGAGTCCAAGTCAGTTCTGTTCCAAACTACAAAATATAGGTTCATTCTTTATCAGCTGGCGCTCTATGCAGCTAGGAATTGTTAATCAGAGAGCCAGTTTCTAATTCCAGTCGGGTTCGTTATGCGCAAATACCCTTGGGAAAAATATGGATGTACTTCTTCTCTTCCACCTAGTGGTCAACTACTAAAATTTGTGTCATTAAATCATTATTATTTACAAAAATAATCAAAAAAAAAAAATCTGGCTTTAAATAACCCGCAAAGTGTTGATAAGCAGTAAAAAACGTATCAGCAAATCAACCCTTTGAAAGGGTGCTGAAAGAATCAGTTTTGCGAGCGATAAACTTGTATCTTCAGTTTTTGTGGTTGACGTTTACATCTAAAAAGAATCAAAAACATTAGCATACTTTTAAAATCCGATACAGTGCCTTCATAGGGTTACTGTTCATTTCAGTCTTTATTGAACTCAGTAATTTTTTTTAAGTTTCTCATTTTTGAATCGGACTTGTTGTCCAAATGCCGACATATAGACTTCCTTGATGCTGATCTTGGCTTCTTCACGAAAAAGGAATAAAGAGTATGGAGAAAGAAAAGAAAATACAAATGGAAATTTGAAAAGAAATGTTTCCAAAAATGAAAGCAAAAACAATCCCAAATATATTACTGTTCTTTGATTTTTACAATCACATTCGTGTCTTCATTTGAGATTCTGAAAGCTTCCCGCTCTTTTGGAAAGTCTCCAATTAAAAAACACAGTCACAAAATCAACAACACATGTCACCTGACAAATGCTTCCTGTTCTTTGGTCTTCAAAGAATTACCAAGTTCAATCTGGGTCTCAATATTCAGACCTTTCAATGTAAGAGAAAAGGACGATGGAAATGTTTGTTTGATTGTTTAGCGGCATATCAACACCTTATGGGTCATTCAATGCCGAAATGTAGCTTTCTTGGGACCATTAGTAATTTCACTTACAAAAATGCATTGCTGGTAATTTTTACTATGGAAATGTATTGCTGCTAATTTTAACAATAAAAATAATCTTTTTATAATTTCATAGTTTATTTTACCCCAATTTGGGTGTTAACTATTTGCACATATTTGAGACCCTAACAGCTGTTACCACCCTGAGTTATTGTATACCTGACAACAGTAATTAAGAAGTGATACCAAGCCCCTCAAAACATCCTGATCAGAAGATTTGCTGCCGGTTGTAGTTTATCGTCATGCAACCTGGGAGGACATAGTTTTACTTA